GGCTGTGATCATCATTGAATACACACTGACGATTACGTGGCGTACGATTCGTGCTTCCAAACGTTTCCATTAAAAAGCGATCGAACCTCTCGTTTTGATAACCGGCAATTTTTTGCCAACTTTTTATTACCATTCAACGAGAGATGAATACATAAAGAGTGAATTAATCAAATAGTAGCGGATAAATAGATGGTTAGAAGGTAAACATCGATAAGCGATATCGCGTGTATCTTTGTCTAACATTATTATTATTATGTTTTTAAAGAAAACGAGACACTTGTGTCATGCAAAATTAATAACCTAATTACGAGTTCAAACATTGCTCGTGACTACTATTTTATCGTATTGTATCTTAATTACAGTTTACAGTTCGATACGTGAATTTTTTTCTCTTCTCTCTCTCTTTTTTTTTTTTTTTTTTTTTTTTATAAACGTTTAAAAGTTAAAAATATTCTCGCGCTCAAACATTTTAGATTCTCGTTGCACAATGACCCGAGCGTTATAATGAATGGAACGAGCGCGAGGAAACTGTGCTAATTTCATACGCTTATTTCTATCGCTTCTTAATATCTATCACGCAACAGTGACAAAACACATTCGTATCGTTTAACTTGTGTCTCGCGTGAATCATACATTAACCCAGCTATAGATAATATTTCAACCGCGGACAAGTAAATCTATCGGTCTAAAGACAAACTTCCACGTGCTATAATACGATCCGATAAATTCGTCGATCGAAAAAAGAAAAAAAAAAAAAAAAAAGAAAGGAAAAGAAAAAGAAAAAGAAGAAGAAATAAAGAATAAAAAAAGAAAGAAGAAAAGCGGATTTCCAATTTAAAAATTTAAATTTTTGCCGCGCCGCGCCACGCCACGGTCGAGTACATCGATCGACACCCCCGTGTACGGTATGATGGTATGATGGTCGTTGGTTTTGTCGCGCGAAAGTTCATTCGATTTGATTAAAAAATCAAGGCTTATTAGTAATAATTGAATACGGAGCACTGTCGGCGAGCACCGTCGCCGGAGCACGCGTCACCCGACGAAGGAAGTTGAATGCCGACTGTGAGAAGGCCGACGCTACTCTCTCGTCTTTTCCTTTCTCCACGGTGGCCTGTCGTTACGTCTTTCTCCCACCACGGCGTCGCGATGTCGTCGGTGAGTAAGCGAGCGCCATCGTAATTTGTTCGAATTGCACGTACGCCAAGTTCCGCACACACAACACTCCCGCGGTCGCTGGCCCGTTTCGCTAGATTCGAGCTTCGAGCTTAAAAATGGCCAAGGCTCTCGATGCTCCCCTCCCTCCCTCTCTCACACTCTTTTCCCTCCTCCTCCTCCTCCTCATTCTCATCCTCAGTTTCCCGAACACTCGGTGAACCGAAAACAATCAAACTTTGGATACTTCGCGAGCTGTGCTTCGTGTGATTCATAGAATGGTTATGCGGGTTAGGATTTCCGGTTTCCTTGGGAAATGAAGAAATTATCGCGAGTGGTTTCATAATTTTCTTTCTTCTTTTTTTTTTTTTTTCTTTGTTACATTAGACTGCAGAATACAGAAAGTGTAATCAACTTAATAGGAATTCGAAAAATTTAGCAAGATTAACCATTAGTCGCGTCTCTTTATCCGAGATATTTTTTTTTTTGCTCGTTTCTATTTAGGATATTTTTAAAATATACGAGCCACGTGGAGGAAAATAGTCTCGTACGGTGAACGGTTTTTGCTATATGCTGCGGTGTAGTATGGGTTGCCTGTTCACAGGGATTTTGGGAGCACTTGGAAAAAAAAAGTTATCGTACTTACGCGTTGTTCTATCGCTAATTTATCGCTACGTTATATACGCTCGTTCAAATTAATTAATTTCGTTTCATTTATATATTTGTATTTCTTTTTTTCTTACATTTATTCCTTGCGTTTATTGCGTACACATAGTGGTTTTTTAATTGGTTTCAATATATCTTTCGAGAATAACGTCGCTCTGATACACGAGTATATCAATTTTCTGGGGGACATTTGCACGAATGACATCGCGCTGTTAGTCTTTCGTGGAGATTTCAATTAAGGTCTGCGAGTTATTGCATTGTGCAAGCATAGTGGTATGCTTTATACTGCGGGTCAAAGAGGCAAGATACACACCAAGAGTCGGTGAGACATTTACTGACTGATTGTTACTTGTAGACCACGGTGCTAATGAGCGAGTCGCCTGATTACGTACGAATTAATGTTCGACAGTTGGACAGTTCTTGCTTCGAGTCGTATCTAACCGAGAATTAACTTCAATTCGCGTGATATTGCCGCGTACGAAACGTATACTTTTCGATATTTTTCTCGCGTGTTGTCGCAATATAGCTCATTAATCGGCTCATTAACGTTTCCTTTAAAAAAAAAAATTTAAAAAATTTTCGCAATGATACATTTTTTTCGTCGTCGTTCTTTTGTAATATCTTTAATTTTTTTGTGCATTGTTTTTTTCTCTTTCTCTCTTTAAATCAATTAAAGATACCTATAAAAGAAAGAGTTTTTTTTAAACGATATAATTATATCACTGGATAATTTATTAACCGTAAGATAATTATCGACGTTTATTTCTTGCTCTGTAATTAACAGGTACGGTTAATTACAAATGTTCGAGCTATCATAAATCAATTTGCGCTTCGATTTTTTTATCTTTTAGAGATACGCAGTATAAAATGCAAGAAAAAGATGTAGATCATACGTATCGTACGTATTTTTTCTTTCAATTCATGCAATTTCATTCGATTTCGCCTAGTAAGTGGATGTTGCTTCCTTTGTTAATTTTTTTTTTTTAACAATTAACGAGATAGCATCTTTTCCAGCAAAAACTGGATCGAAAATTTTTATTTTAAATTTTATCATCGCGAAATAAAAATGTTGAATTTTGATAAACCTGTTAAAAATATGACTTTGCATAATAACTTTGTCGGCGACTTCAAAAGTGTACCACATTACGTAGGTACGCAATTACTTTTTATACAACGTCGTATCTCTTTTTTGCAATTTTTATGGTTGACAGCATTTTCGGAACGTGGTTTCACGTGGTATAGTCACGAACGCGGACACGATCAAGGATATCTATGATGAAAAATCAAAGACAATCGGCAAAATAGCCTATTATGTCATCGTTGGAATTTTCAACGGATATTATAAACTCTCTCCTAACCTTGTACAAACAAAATACGTCTAGATTCTCATTAAATTGCAATACAACATGTGCAACGATATGGCCTCGAGGCTTCAAAATCGCATTCCACAGCTCGGTAACACAACTCGTTAAACATTATTTCCATACGCTCGGTTTCATTTTATCAAATTTATTTCTCTTCCTATCTTAACTTACAGAATCACGTTTCCATACTGGATACGTAAGGAGTATATACATTAAGGTAAACTTGGTTTGGCGCTCTCGTCGCGCCACAAAAACGGAACTAACGAAAACTAACCTCGTAAACGTCTCATTATACTCACTGTTACCTACCTTGCGTCGAATTCAATATCCATTCGATATTTTCATTAACTTGATCACGATAATTAAGAAAAGTATTTTATGTTCGCGTATAATCGAGAACTATTAGCAATACCTTGTATTAAATTACTCGGGCATATATCTTCGAGCTTCCTACTGAAAGAATAAATTTTAATACCTATAATGTTCTTTAATAATATTGAGAACTGCCATCTTGACGCGGAATAGTAATAATTTGCGGGGAATAAGAAAAAGGGAAGGAGGAGGAGGAGGAGGAGAAACAAGGGTAATACACGATCTCGTGTTCGTGTCAAACAGGTTCTTACCGACATTTAATTTCCATCCGATAGAGAATTATTCCGAGGCATTCGTCAATATATTTTTCTAACCTCGTACGTTTCTAGATTCTTTCGTACTTGCGAACGTTAAATCGCCATAAAATGACATTGGACATGAATTAACACAATATCTTTCGAACTGGTTTCGTTGATTAAAATTCCTACGGTAAATCATTGGTACGTGTGGTAGGTATGATGGATTACGCGAAAACGCGGCTCCTGGAATCGAAAGGAGCAGCGGCGTACCGCGTATACACGGTGGTGTGTTAAAGCATAATCGGGATAAGAGTCGAGGCTAGATCGTTCCCGCGAATATATGTCGTTTAATATCGGACCGGTTTTCCCTTCCTTCGATTCCACGCGTATCGTCGTTGGATAAATATCGGCCCGATTTTATTCGTCCAAGATGCAATTGACTATTTCCAGGCCGCGAATTCAAATTAATCGAGGCGCATACCACAGTCGAACCGAGGAGCAGCAGCGAGAAGCATTCCGTGATATCGTGAAATTAGCCACGTTCGCGTTCGCTGGTCGAAGAAAGAAAGGTGATCTCGTCGAATCATAGGTAAGCGAAAATTACACGTTTCAATAGAAACGAATATCCTTACTTACTTACCTAGTAACAGTCGCTCCGTTTCCTCGGATTGAATCGAACGTCGTGTCGTGCGGCGCTCGCCTTGAACGAGACTCTTGCACGATTCGCGTGCCTCGGAGAAACTTTGAAAATATCTCTGAAGAGAAAAAAAAAAAAAAATACAAAAAAGAACGAATTTCCTCTCGAATCGAAATTTAATTTACGATTAATCGAGGGAAACGAATCGAACGCGAATCGGAGGAAAATAGTTGTTCAGAAATATATTTATATATTTTCCGACGAGAAATCGAAGCGGGGGAGGGGGGAATCGAATTATCGAAGGGTACGCGCGCACGCGAACGAGTATGCACGAGTCGCGATACACCCACGTAATAGCGGGCCACGATACTTATCGTACTCACGTGCACCTCATCCGAGCGCCTTAAGTGCACCTTGTAAATATGTAAATGAGTGAATACAGTGCTACGTGCGCACGAATAACAGATCGGGCAACGCTAGTGGCCCTTTTGTCGTCCTGTTCCGGGACGACAGAATGCATCGTAACTCATCCTTATCATCGCGAATTACATAAACTTACCACGTACGTAGCTGGTACATACACTAACCGAGTCGAAGCAACAAATAGCTGTTGCGAACTCGTTGTAAGCTTCGGATTTTTTTAATCGTCGTGGAAAACATATTGTTCGATCGTTCGAATAATCGAATTTGAAAGGAGAACATACGTAAGCGCATGCAAGAGACATTTAGAGAGTTGATTATTAAATTGAATTGAAATAAGGTGTTTTTTCGATGGGGGAGAAATAATATAGAGAAGATAATAATTACGAGAGGAAAATTAATATATAATAGTAAATTGGTTACGAGATATCGAATGTTAATAAATGATTAACAAAGCGCATTATTTAACATTACTATTCAAATATCGGGTATCGAGTTGGCTGTTATTGTACTCTCTCGTACATCTAATCTTTATGCTACTTTACGATACGAACATATTACAATCGCGGAGCTTTTAACAAGCTTATTAATTACAATTATACCGCGCTTCGCTCCTTCGATATAACGCCCGTATATTAACGCGTTATCGGGTTAAAATCTTGTCAATTGCGACCAACATCGGGAATGTATTTTCCTTCGTTTCGTATCTCTTTAAACTTAAATAGTTGATCCGTTGCAGAAATTCCACGCTGCGTTTCTTATCAATGGCGCTCGGAACCGGTAAGGATAATTTTATGTAAAAAGAATTTTCCAACTCATCGTTGGATCATTGTAACAGTATCTTGTTTGTAACGAAGATTACTGCGAGGACTCGTGTAGCAAGCAAGCAGTTTACCTCGTGGTAACGAGTTAATGGATATCCCTTATTAAAAGTTTCGCGATGAAATTGCCCCTTGAAGAATTATCGATACTTGCAACTTTCATCAAGGGTGAAAATCCTTTTTTCGAACGGAAAGACACCCTCTTCTCTTCCCTCCTCTTCCTTCTTCTCCTCCTTCTCCTTCTTTTCGTAATCGTCCCGATTTATCACTACTCGCTACTTCGTAATTTCCACGCTCGATCGTTACATCGATCATGGATCTCCTCTCCCCCTCCCCCGATAAAGTTTAATCAAATTGTTACTCTCGTTGAGGAGGGTACACACAAGGCTTTCATATTTTAGAATTATCGTCGGTTCTACCGCACAATGATCCGCATTAACATAAGAACTTTTCTCGTTTACAATGTTCCTTCTTTATGGCTTATAGCCGTAGTATACCCATAGCGACAACTGATATTTCGTCGTTTTTTAAACTAGGCGGGAATAAGCTATCATGTCGTAAAGGCAATTCGGTTGGCAATTTCTTATAGCGGCAAAATTACTCCGGTAATGGGAATGGAGATGCGTTTATTAAACTTGAATCTCTTCATTTGACCGGGTGTGTGCTGCTCGTGATACAATCCTTTACGAATATACATATATATATATATATAT